TTGATAGTACTATTGTTCAGGAAGAAGGAAATTTTTACCTCATTTTTAATTCAGATTATTTTCTGGGGGTTAGGTTTTGTTATATTATTTTCTTGGGGTTAGATACACATTGATATATATATATATATATATATNTATTATATATATTTTAACTTATTTTTCATTTGGTATGATGATGACATGAGTTGAGCTTACTTAAATCAAAAAACAAGGTCAGCGACGATTCATACAACTGACCCTGCCTTATTTCTTACTGAGGTGTAGTCATGTTTATCTTACAATGAATAGATGATCACAAGCTCTGATAAAATTAGGCGGTTGCTTAATTTGACTGCTAGAACATAAATATTACTTTTAACTTTGATAAATCCTCTAATTTTGGATAAGTTGGGGATGCCCACAAAGGCAAGCACTATATCGGGACCTCAGGTTAATGTCATTCCTATTGGAATAAATTAGTCGTGAATAGAGTGGAATGGTTAGAGAGAATTAAAAAGCCAACTCCAACTAGTTTGGCGTTGATGCGTAGTTGACTGATCGGGTTGAATTATTATGCACGGGTTAGTTAAACCAAGAAGGACTAGTACCTAGTCTGTGTATTCAGTTTCCTTCCCTTGTTAGCTGCTTAAGTTTCTTTAAGACCAAGAATGTGGAGATAATATATTATTTGGTACTACTTATCTTTTATCTCTCCCTTTTTCTTTTCTCTTCCTTCTTTCTTCCTTCCTTGCTTTCCTCTTCTTCTTCTTGCCCTTCCTGAGCCGAGGGTCTATTAGAAACAACCTCTCTACCTGCATTAGGTAGGGGTAAGGTCTGCGTACAGACTACCCTCCCCAGACCCCACCTGTTGGGATCATACTGGGTTTGTTGTTGTTGTTGTTGTTGTTGTTGTTGTAATGTGGAGATAATATATAGATTCATTTAATCTAGCTTGTTGCAGACATAGGGCAATAAGCTATATTAAATGCTTACTCTATGTCTGCAACATGCTACTTTTTTGGGTAGTGACGAAACTATGAACAGGGAAATGCTTGCTTGTCTTCTTGATTGGTATCTAGATATTTTTTGCCTATTTCTAATTTTGTTTGAGCTCTTTGCTTGTCCCTAACAGAAAGGTTATTTGATATCTTGTCTATATTTAAGATAACGTGGATCTCATGAAATCTAGGATTTGTTAACCTTTCTATCTACTCTTCACGCTGTCATCATCACGGTATGTTACCAAATCTTGATTAAGTGATAAGTAGTGCATTACACTGCATATGTGTCTAATAGCTGCTCTTGCATACAATTCCAATACACGACAGTGTATGTGCACGTGTCATGTCGTAAAGTATGCCACCTTTGAAATGTTGTCGGGGCGTAGGTAGTTACTATGCTCATAGTACTTGAGAGTCTTAGGAATTAACATTAGTAAACAGAATGTTTTCCTCTTTACCATTCTTGTAGCATGTCTAAAGGTTCAGTAATTTGTGTTATTTCATAGCACTCATCTTTCTTTTATTTAATCACATGGACCATTTGAAAGAGGTGTTTTTTAGCAGATATAGAATATCATTTACTAGTTAGTTGGATGTTCGAATTCTGGATTAATTTGGGTTGATATGTCATTATTCAAGAGTTTTTTTTAGGAATGGCTACAGATCTCACAACACAATTTGATGACACATCTTTTGTTCTTAGTATTTTGCCAAATGTAGATCTTCATTACGCCACTAAGATCTGCAGGTCATGTTGGAGATGTATCCAAAGAATTTCTATCTGTGATAACCGTAATTTAAAGAGTTTGTATGCAATAAATTCTGTCTTTAATACCTAAATATGTTAAGATTTAATATTTATAAAGATGGATATACACTACTTTACCTTATCAAAATAAAAAAAGGATGGATATATACTAACATTGTTTAATCCCATTAAGTGATTCTAAAACTGTACCCAATCTTTGATATTCGACCAAATTAAATTTTCTCAGTTGTCTTTTTCATTCAAAAGATAATTTGAGCATATAGAAGCTTAAGTAATTGAATCTTTTGAGTTGTGTCAGATCTAACATGTGAAAATTGATTAGAAGGATATTTGGCAACTTACGTAATAAGCTTGTATAATTCAATGTTTTCTTTTCGTCCAAGATGCACATCTTGTCAAACGACCTACTTCCCATACTGATTTTGATAATAAAAAAGAGTTGTTGAAAGCTTTCTAACTCTAATCGTGTCCAAGTTGTTCCAACACTACTTTGCTAGTAAATTATTTGCCTTTTAAAGTAATTTAAATGATGCGAACTGAGGGGTTATTGCTTTCCGGGTGAAGGCATGCGCTTTAGAGAAGTGTGTGCTTCAAACGATGACATGCAAAGCACTCTCAATAAGAAGTGCTTGGTTCTTTAAACCTCAGCTCTGAGGAGTTGAATTAATATTGGCCTTGTTGTATATTGAATGCTGAAATTAGTTACTCCCTCTGGTTTCATTTTATATATGTCTTACTTTAACTTGGCACGAAAATATAAGAATTTAAAGAAAAACTTTTAAATCTTGTGGTTATAAACTAAAGTTTGTATAATATACCAAACACATCCCTTTTTTTTTGCTTTGATGGGATAGCAACTCCTTCTATAGTTCTTAAGGCTAGATGTCTTCTATGGTTGTATAGTTGGCACAATTTAGCTCCTAATGATTGTCCTGTTAAATTTTTTGATTTTGTCAGCTCTCTTGCTTAACTCTTTTTTGTTCATAGCTGTCTGTCCTTTATGTACTCTCTTTTGTACTTCTTGCATCTTGTGGATGCCATCTATAAAATTCCCCTTCATCGAAAATATACCAAAAATTCATTTGAATCTTATGGTTCTAAACATGCCATGTCATTCATATAATGGAGTATCACTAAAAGTAAAATGAGAATGTTGGAATTAAAAACTTACTAAATATATAAAGATGACATTTGTTTTGAAACAAACTAAAAAGGAAAGTAAGACACGTAGATTGAAATGCAGGGAGTATTTTAATTGCAAGTTTATTATAGTACTGAATTCATATATGTTTGGTATTCCTTTAGTTCTTTGTAAATTGCACGCTTCACTTCAAAGAAGTTACTTCACGCTTTTAACTTCTAGCCTGATGGACCTTGTCATTTTTTGTGCTTTTTGCTTAAAAACACTGTACTAAATCTCACCGTTAACCCTAATCCTGGCAAATACTGCACCTAGGTAAGTAGCTTATATGGATCTTTTGCTTTACATGTGAGGTACCTAGATTTAAAAATTCAAAAGCTAATAGAAGTTTGATTACTGCTCAGCTATAGCAGGTAAGTGCTTTAGAATATATTGTATTTTGAGGGGAAAGTTATGATCCTACAACTTGTTTGCTAGCCAATGATCACAAGATAAAATATGATTTCATTGTTTAATTCCATTTCTATGATTAGCTAAATGATTAGTACCCTTGTTTCAATAGTCGCGATTTCAGGATCCAATCTATTTTGCGGAAACAGCAAGTTTTCAATCCATTAAAGGATGGAATTAGGAATAGACTATGAGATGACCTTTCTATCTCTGTCTTTTCATGAACTCTTTGCTCCGAATCCCTACCAAATAACCATTGACAAATCCCCCTTCAATTCCCTATATCTAATCCCCTCTCCACATTGTACGCAGCCTATTCCTCTTCTAAAAGGGTTTGCAATTTTTGCATTCAGCCATTTATACTATTTTCATTCATTCGAATTCCATTAAGTTGGCGTACCAAACAAGATTAAAAATGGTTTGGTGCATCAAAATTTATTTAAGTTTATAGTAGTCCCTAGAATGAGACCAATTGGGCGTGGAGTTTAGGATACTAAAGAATCATGATCTTAAGCTCACAATCCATCTGCTACTTATGAAAAAAGGGGATAACTTCACAATCCATATACAATATCGGAGTGGTAAAGGAGTTGTGCGCAAGCTTGGCTCGGACACCACGATTATCAAAAAAAATATTGGAGTGTAAAGGTTATTCAATGTGTATTACTAGAAGAGGTAGTAAGGAAATTTCTTACGGGGTTAGTGGTCGCTTAGACATATATATTATTTGCAAATACTGAAATTTTATTTGCAAATCAATGTTTGTTTTACAATTTTGTTCATTATTTCAGCTCCAACTTGAAATAGAGAAGTTGAAGTTGAAAAACTCGTTTGAGAAGTATTTCAAGTGAAACAATGGTTTTAACCTACGAAACTTCTACATTTTCCCACGTGAAACTCATGTCCGAACACAACAACTTCCAAATACTCTTTTTTCAACTTCAACTTCAACTTCAAATGGTCATTTTTTTCAACTTCAACAAAATATTGTCCAAACACCTTATATAAAAAAAATCGTCCAAACAGGTTATCAATTAATCGCAGCATCTATTTTGCGGACGACTTGGCCTCTAGGCCCGGTGAGATATTTCTCATGTGTGAATTGGTGTTTTTAGACTCTTTCTCAAAAGGCTTTTATAAAAAAAGCTACACGACTTTAGATTTCAAAATCTGGTAGGAGCAATGCCTAGAGTAGAAGTAAATTGTCAGAAGACATGCATTCTGAGTGGGCCCAAGTTCAGTGATTCACCGCTCCATTGTCTTTCTTTGTTCTGTAATTTGGATAGATATTTAAACTGGAGGTTATGGAGTTTGTTACTTTAGGGTAAAGAAAGAGGAAGACTGTTGCTTCTGTTCATGGAGAAATCATGAGGCAAGCAGATGCGTGTGCAAACTTCTTACTGTTCACCTCATTCTTCCTTCTGGACTGAAGTTCTGAGATGTCGTAGGGTGATATAGAATTTCCTAATCCCAATTTTTAACACTTAGCATATCCTGTCATTGTCTCTCTGTTTAGTCTATGTGTTTGTTGTTATTGATATGTAATGAACCTTTACAATCTTAATGATCTCTTGCTTTGCTGCATCCTGCTCGTTTTCTTCATTTTCGTTTCCGATACTGTTTAGTTCCTCTCTTTGTTTTTGTATGCTTGAATATACTATTCTTGATGTTGGGATATCTTCTGTCAATGCAGAAATGCTTATAATATGGTATTACACAAATTTGGTGAGAAGCTATATTCTGGACTTGTATCTACTATTACCTTCCACCTACAAGAGATCTCTAAATGCATAGAATCAGCCCAAGGTGATTTATTCTTGGAAGAGCTGAATAGGCAATGGGCAGATCATAATAAGGCATTGCAAATGATACGGGATATTCTGATGTACATGGACAGGACCTTCGTTCCAAGTACCCATAAGATCCCTGTTCATGAGCTTGGGCTGAATCTTTGGCGGGATAACATAATACATGCGAATAAGATTCAGATGAGACTTCTGAGTACGCTTCTTGGACTGATACTCAAAGAACGGGATGGGGAAGTAATTAACCGGGGACTGATGAGAAATATAATTAAGATGCTAATGGATTTAGGACCATCCGTGTACCAGGAAGACTTTGAAAAACCTTTTCTTGAAGTATCAGCTGATTTTTACAGGGCCGAGTCTCAGAGGTTCATTGAATGTTGCGACTGTGGAGACTACCTCAAGAAAGCTGAGAAACGTTTAAACGAAGAAATAGAGAGGGTGTCACACTACTTGGATCCAAAGACTGAAGCTAAGCTCACTAATGTTGTGGAGAAAGAGATGATTGAAAACCATATGCCTAGGCTTGTCCATATGGAAAATTCAGGTATGGTGAATATGCTTCTTGATGATAAATATGAAGATTTGAGAAGAATGTACAACTTATTCCGTAGAGTTCCTAATGGTCTTGCAACAATAAGAGATGTAATGACTTCTCACATCAGAGAGATTGGTAAACAGCTTGTTACCGATCCTGAGAAGCTGAAAGATCCTGTTGAATTTGTCCAGTGTCTCTTGAATGAGAAGGATAAATATGATAATGTAATAATCTTGGCATTCAACAACGACAAGACTTTCCAAAATGCCTTAAACTCATCTTTTGAATTCTTCATTAACCTCAATCCCCGTTCTCCCGAGTTTATATCATTGTTTGTGGATGAAAAATTGCGAAAAGGCCTTAAAGGAGTCAGTGAGGAAGATGTTGAAGTTATTCTCGACAAGGTGATGATGCTCTTCCGTTACTTGCAAGAAAAAGATGTGTTTGAGAAGTATTATAAACAGCACTTGGCAAAGCGACTGCTTTCAGGAAAAACAGTTTCCGATGATGCTGAGAGAAGTCTGATTGTTAAGCTGAAGACAGAATGTGGTTATCAGTTCACTTCCAAATTAGAGGGCATGTTTACCGACATGAAAACTTCTCAGGACACAATGCAAGGATTCCATGTAGCATATGGTGCTGAATTGGGTGATGGCCCCTCATTGGTTGTCCAGGTTCTCACGACGGGATCTTGGCCTACTCAACCTAGTATCACATGCAATTTGCCAGCTGAATTGTCAGCCCTGTGTGAGAAATTTCGGTCGTATTACCTTGGGACCCACACTGGTCGAAGATTATCCTGGCAAACAAACATGGGCACAGCTGATCTGAAAGCGACATTTGGGAAGGGCCAGAAGCATGAGCTCAATGTCTCTACTTACCAAATGTGTGTCCTCATGCTTTTCAATAATGCTGATCGGCTAATGTACAAGGAGATTGAACAGGCCACTGAGATCCCTTCGTCTGATTTGAAAAGGTGCTTGCAGTCCCTAGCATGTGTTAAGGGAAAGAACGTCCTCCGGAAAGAACCCATGAGTAAGGATATCGGGGAGGACGACGCCTTTCTTGTCAATGACAAATTTACGAGCAAATTTTACAAGGTCAAGATAGGAACTGTAGTTGCACAGAAGGAATCCGAGCCTGAAAAGCAGGAGACACGTCAAAGGGTGGAAGAGGATAGAAAGCCCCAGATTGAAGCTGCTATTGTGAGGATCATGAAATCCAGGAAGGTATTAGATCACAACAACATCATCACTGAAGTTACAAAGCAATTGCAATCACGTTTCCTGGCAAATCCAGGAGAAATCAAGAAACGCATTGAGTCACTTATCGAGAGAGATTTCTTGGAAAGGGATAATACAGATAGACGATTGTATCGCTACCTTGCATAAGAAATGGCTCACGGGTACTTGTTGTTTGTGAACTTGAGCAAGTCATAATTGGTGACTTTCTTAAGCTTCTTCGGTAGAATTGATATGATTTATTGGAATTTTTCTCTACCCTCTTAGTTTCTATAGCAGTAATTGAGTTTCAATGAATGCAGTTGTTTCTGCTGGCTACATCCATATGCATTTGCTATGAGAGAAAGATACAAGTATCGTAACACTCGCTAAAAAACTTCATGTTATGAGCTAACCTGCCATGGTTAGTCTCGATTGAGTTGTTAGTGCAGGCCTTTGTTAAACTTTATGTTTTCCTTTGGTATAAGCTAGCACTACTCTTTTGTTATTGGTTATCTGGTTTCGCGTAGAGAAAATATGTGAATGGTCGACAGTGGCGGACCCACGTGGTGGCTAGCGGGTTCAACTGAACCCCCTAACACCAAAAAATAATACTGTGTATATGTATAAATTATGATTAAAGCTGTGTAAATTTTGTATAAATATTTTATTTGAACCCACTGGACAACTATTTTACGACTAAAGTTATGTACTTCTAAGATTAAACCCGCTTGCACAAAATTCTGGGTCCGCCACTGATTGTCGGCCAAGACATGGTAGATGCTTTGGCAAAGACTTCAGAACCAAGTGCTGCCGATTCAACTCCATTTATTTCATCCTACCAAAATGAGATAGAAAGCGTTAATCTGCTTTCGTACAGGATAAAAAGAACATTGGTATTTGAGGAATACGAACAGCACGCATGTTTGGACCCATAGCCTTCCCCATTGATCACTGATGCTATGAAATTTTGTTTCTGCCAAAACAGTGTTCGATATTACAATAAGAAGAACATGGAAACATAGGCATATACGAAACACAAAGCGCCATATATAGAAGGGACAAAAGAAAGATGATGCTGTTTCTTCAACAAATATTTACTCACATTTCCTTTCAATCGATTCTATATAGTTACACGTTAGTTGATAAATATTTTTGTTGACTAAAGAGTAGAACAAAGTAATCAGACAGAAGAGAATATATAGGAATTTTCATCTCAAGATTTGGAATATCTTATGTGTGTCTGTGTTATTATATAAATGTGCGCAAACACATATACATATATAAAATATCTTTTAGTATGTACACATGTTTTGAGTCGAAAGCAACGGGTTCAACCTGCTAGATGATCTGTCTCCATTTCCAGATATATGAATCTGCATTTTTTCTTCAGTTAGATACGTTCTTTTTATTTTTTATTTTTTTTATTTAAAGATATATGATTTCCACTTTCTCATTACTAGCAACTACTGTAGTTAACACAGACCAATTTTCAAACAAGGTTCTTTTTTTACACCTTTACTTATCTTTTATGAATTTAATATAATTTTCCTGTTATCGACGCAATTGTCTATGACTACATGTTACTAATTTACATTAGCGTTTAAAGACACACATAACAGATTTGTTGACACACCAGATACCACTTGCAGCTGCAGGTGGTGAAAATTTTCAAACTGGCATTCAGGGAATGGTTCCCCCACTTGTTGTCATTCCTGTCAACCTAGAGCAGTCTACTCTTACTTCATGAACATATAAGCGTTGTATGTGAATAGCCAGGATCACAAATTGACGCTGATGACATTGATTTGAGAGTTGTATGTGAGCTCTCTGCCTGTTATTACCCCGCACTTGTGTTCATAGGCAGCTATCTTGCTGTTACTACCCTGCACTGTCGATTGTAGGCAATAACAGAATATCTGGTGGATTAGTTGAAATACGTTTAAGTTAGTCTGCAAACCACCATCTTAAACAAAAAAAGATGACTTCTTTTGGTGTCGTGCCTGCTGTTTGTGCAGATTCATCTTATATCTTTATGCTGAATGAATGGATTTCCTGTCGTAGTTATTCCAAATTAGTACAAAGAATAATTGATAGCCCACTTGCCAAAGCACTCCTCTGTCTGAAAGAATGAGAAGCAACTTTTAAACTGAAAATCAAAACTTTGTTGTGGCAGACAAAGGCAGGGCCCTTTATGAACTACGGTACTTCAGCTTGGTTAAGAAAAACCTGGCCATTTTCACATAATTCAATTGCACTACATCCAGCTTCCTTCTTCCCAGGGAGAGAACATTCGACTTCTTTTTCTAATTTACGTTCCTCCACCTCTGTTATATCTCTGTGCTCGGGCATTATCCCAGCGATGGCGTAAGTACTGCTCAAAAGTAGTGAATCAGCTGGATGTTTGCCGAATCTCTGTTCTAGTTCTTTCTTCACTTGTTCTCCCAGCTCAACACTAGCATGGACTCTGCATGCTGCTAGTAACGCACGCCATGCAGTAGCATCCCCCTCAATGGGTAAACCTTTTATCAGTTCTCGTGCTGTCTCAAGCAATCCAGCACGGCCTAAGATATCAATCAAACATCCATAATGCTCAATTTTAGGAGTCAAGCCATATTCCAGCACCATTTTTCTAAAACAGCTGATGCCCTCTGCCACCAGTCCTCCATGGCTACAAGCATTGAATACGGCCAAGAAAGTCACTTCATTAGGCCTAAACCCTTCATCCTCCATTCTATGGAAGAGTGCAACAGCATCCTTTGCCTCGCCATGTACCCCGTAACCCATTATCATTGATGTCCAACACTTTACATCTTTGGTCTCCATATTGTCAAAAACATTAACTGCCTTAACAAGCAAGCCACTTTTAGCATACATATCTATCAATGCTGTCCCAAGAACTGGATCCATAGCTAATTGCTGATCTTCTGTGAAGTTCTGAATATAATGACCCATATTGAAAGCCCCGGAGGAAGCACTAGCAGAAAGCAAACCTGCCAAGGTTGATGAATTTGGCTTCAATCTTTGAACCTTCATTTGCCTCAATAGAGACAATGCCTCTTCTAGCAGGCCATTTTTAGCATATCCATCTATCAAACAGTTCCACAAGACAACATCTTTCGGATAAGCTTCATCAAATAGACTACGGCCCGAGCTAATGCAACCCATCTTCCCATACAGAGAAATCAAGGCAGTTAGCACCTTCACACTATAGCAAAATCCATTCTTTATGCAGAACCCATGCATGGATTCCCCTACCAAAGCAATCTTTAACTCACCAATCGCAGACAAAACACACAACATCGTCGTGGCACTAGCGGAAACACCATCCCTGTGCAATTCTATAAATAATTCCAAAACAGCAGGATAATTATGTACACAAAGATAACCACCCATCAAAGTGTTCCAACTCACCAAATCTCTATCTGAAAATTCATCAAACAGTTGGTGGGCACAACGGATTCTCCCAGAGACACAATAAAAATTCAAAAGGGTGTTCCTCAAATCAAGAAGCAAATCAAAGCCAGATCTCAGAACAACTGAATGAATAGCTTCACCAGTCCATTTCGCCAATAAACGTGTACAAGATCTAAGTCCAGAAACAAAAGCAAATTGATCAAGAATTACACTTTGTGCCCTCATGTTGTTGAAAAACAAAAGACCCTTTTGAGGGTCATCACTTATTGAATAACTACGAAGCATGGTATTATACATATAAAGATTTGGGCTTTGTATGCATTTAAACATTGAAGATGCATAGTCTGTGTATTGGATTGAACATGCAAGAAGTTTGCTAAGCGAAAAAGGAATTTGATCTTGACCAGTTTTGACCATTAAGGCATGAAATTGTTTGATTTCAGAGATTTGCTTACATGATTGTAACTGAGAAATTAGCTTTTGGTCAGAAGAAAACATAGAGTAATGTCTTGTTAAGATGATTGATGATACATGTTTGAAATTTTGTCTTAGGTATGAACAGTAGGAATTAACGGCTATGTTCATGAGACCTAGTAAAGCTAGATTTCGCGGTAAAGTAAGGATGATTATTGCTTTTACAGGAAATTCTAAAAAATGTCCCAAGTCATCAAAACTATTTTTGAATATATATATATATATATTAATTATCGGCAAAATGACCTAAATGACACCCTGTACTTGTGCCACTTTGTCATGCCAGTCCCTAAACTTAGAAGTTTGCCAATTGAACACTTACACTCATTCAAACCGTGAATAATAAACGCTTATGGCAGGAGGCTGCCAGTGCGTGTAATACAAACGCCTACACGTTGGACGCCACGTCAATAAAATTAGATCACGTAGGCTCCAAGTCACTTATTATGGCCACATAGAAAAATAAAAGAGGAAAGGATTATTTACCCCCCCCCCCCCAAACTCAAAATTTTTCCTCATTTTACAATTACCCGCATAGTTAGGGCTTAGAAAGTATCGAACAACAGTGAGGCTCTCCCCTCTTCTCCATCATCATTGCCGGGATTTTCATCATCGCAGTTGATATCGAAATTTGTGGGGTAAGTTTCTTCACCTGCTTTTCATATTTATCTTTATTGATCTTCATTTTCCTCAATATATGGGGCTTTTGCTCTGTTTAGGATTTTTAGGGGAAGGTTGGGTTAGGTCGTAATTGCTGTTTAATTTTCCTCAATATATGGGACTTTTGTTGTGTTTCATTACATGTTGGAGTGAAAACCCTTTTTAATGTAGTGTCATGCATGTAATGACATATTTGGTTATTCCGTTTAGTCTTTGATTTTTTTTGTCAAAGTAGAATTTCATCTTAGGTTTATGCATTTTTTTTTGTGAAGTTTGTTGGGTCTCCTTCTTGTTAGTGGTCCACCAGAGTATTTTTGAATATTATAGGGTATTGTGGGGACGAAAAAGGAATCTTGGAAGCTTTTTTACTTAAAAAAATTATCTTTTTTGTTGGTTTATTTATGGAGTTGTGTAAATGTGCAACTTTTGATAACAAATAGTCATTAATAACACTATTTTTTTTTTGTTACTTTGCAGGTATGAGAAGAAAATGGCTTCAAGCCTAGTTAACCTACAAATCCACTACAGTGATAATTTTGTATCGGACCCTGACCTAAGGTATGCAAATGGACTACGTTGTCCTCAATTAGTTACAGTTGATATTGATGAGCTGCATATTATGTTGTTTCACAAGTTTGCTAGGGACTTAGGATTTTTAGAAGTTGATTTGCTTGGATGCAAAGTTAACAAAATGGGTGGTTATTACTTTTAAAAAACAGATGTTGATGTGTTAAAGTTTCTTAATACATTGAAAGGTGGTGACTTTGCTGATGTTTGCATTGTCCATAAAATTAGTGATCCTATTCTTGTTGAGGACATAATTGAACTAGACCCCACTATATAAACACATGGGCATGGCAATGGGTTAAATGCTTAGGCTGATGTGTCACCTCCCAATAATGATATAAATAGGATTGAAAATGACAAAGCTAAGGGTAAATTGGCAGATATAAATGGAGAGATAGAAGAATCAGATGAAGGTGAAGGTAATAACTTCTCATCCTATCACCTTCAAACATCAGAATCTGATTTTGATGAGGACTTTGATGATTCTGAAGGGTATGACTCACTGTTTGAGATAGATGAGAACATTGAATAGTGTAGTGATTTGGAAGATGACTTAGTTGAAATTAGACAGTCTAAAATCAACATATATGGTTTACTAGATAATCAACATATATGGTTTACTAGATAATCCCTCACTTACAACCTCTTATCTTTGTGCAGTCTGGAACTACTGACAGAGTAGTACACAATCCTTCTACACTCATAAGTTCTGCCCCTACCAACATTGAACTTAGGTTCAAACCCCCTGGGCTAAAGTGGAAGGGTCGAGCAGCAGTTACACAAAGGCAGCTGCAAGAACAGAGTTACAGAAGGGCAAACTTTGCTACAACCACTCAAGCCACACCAATGACACAATCCACACCAAGAAACTAAGCCACAACAAACATTAATTGAAGTGCTCAACTGATATTTTGAAGATTTAATCATGGATATTTTTGTTGACTGCCTATCGTAGACAATATTTTGTAAAGCAACTTTCTTATTTTGGATATTTTATTAATTGCCTATAACATGCCATGATATTAGTAGTTCCTGTACTTGTTGCTGTAATGGAAACTTTGTCAATATATTTCATGAAATTTTTTTTACATCAACACAAAATATGTAGCCTAAACCCAGGAAATAAGAAAGTACACTATCAATCCTAAATATATAACATAAGAGCTAACATTAGAACAACTACAACCGCAATTATAATAGCAGCAACTCTGAACTTCGACCTTCCTTGTCTTCTCTGACAATGTCATCGATCACTCTTCTTAATAAGACCCTCAAGAAGAATCTTGTAGTGTTCTTCCTCAATCGCAGGATCAACCCATTGGAAAAAGCTACAACCTTCACCAATCTCATATCTTCGACAGCCTAGGAATCTTCTTCCAGGATTGGTGGGTGTTCGTGACATTTTAAGATCTGCAGCAAGTCCACAATAACACAAAGGTTCCTTCTTCATTGCTAAAGGAGAAGATGCGGCAATAGCTTATTTCTTGCTAGAGAAGAAGAAAAAAATTGACTTTCAAAAGAAAAAGAGATGGCAAAAATTGATGGGCAATGAAGAATCCTAGCATTTTTTTTTATTTTGCACTGTTGAAGCTAACAAAGAAAGAAGAAGGCATCAGATTTGGATAAAAATCAGCTTCTATAATGTTCAACAATGGAGAATAAGGTAGAAAGAAGAAGATGACTGTTAAATAGGTCACATTATTACCGTTAGGACTTTTTAAACTGCCTTCACGCCCCTTACAGGCGTGTGAATAACGCATTAAAGCCAAATATGACACATAGGATCAACCACGTAGGATAAGCGTTTATTATTCATGGTTTGAATGAGTGTAAGTGTTCAATTGGCAAACTTCTAAGTTTGGGGACCGACATGACAAAGTGGCACAAGTATAAGTGCCATTTAGGCTATTCTGCATATATTATATAGTAACATAGATAGATTATGATTTATGAGTTGTTTCCACTTTCTTCTTCTCTCAGGATAAAAAATAATTTAAATCATTATTTTCTTTTTGAAGTTTAATACAAGAGTTTTCGTTCCAAGTTCCGTATGTTAAAGAAGAAATGACGTGGTTCGGAGTACAAATTAAATTACCTAATTCCAAATGTCACAATGGTTACTTTTATGATATTCATGATTGAGAAAATTGTGATTTTGCTATCTTATACTCTACATGTAACTCTTTGTACCAAAGGGAAGCAGAAAAATGAGTACTGAATAGTTTTTCAACATGGCTACACAAAAGAAACTCTTAACTTAATTGGGATGTATATAACCATTCATACCATCAAGCTCCAATCCATTTAGGTCGTAAGCTAGCAGTTGAGGTCTTAATTACCTTTAATTTCGTGCATTTCAACAATTTGATAGACAAATGCCAACTTGTTTTTTCAATTGCCAACTTATAATTACGTTTTGGGATAGTAAATTTTTTAGGATGAGGCTATAATGCTAACTAGATTCAATACGATTCGACAACCTAAAATAATTAGAGTTTCATCATTTTCTTTTGAAAAATTCAATCAAAAATACCCAACCAACTGTTCTAGATTAAAATGTGGCTACTATTTATATTAAGTAATAGACGGAAATAATTATCAATAATGGAGTGATAACCTAAGAATAAAAACTTCTTCTTTGGTGGAATGAGAACCTAAGTATAAAAACCGAAATTACAACTCTATAATAAGGTTGTGGCTCGATTAAATTTAATATTTTAAGCTTTTGACTTTGTTAGAATGCAAGCAATAATATTCTATAAGAATAAACACAAAACTAACAATCGACTTTAGTTTAACAATCCTTATATGAATTATGGCCGAGCAGCCCAAGGAGCTTGAAGTACGCCTAATATTTTAATATTCCTCGTATCTGAACAAATGCAAACATTCATAGCGGATCATGGTTTTCTTTTCTTTTGACATAGTAAAAAAAAAAAAAAAAAAAAAAA